ATATAATTTATTTATATCTTTTCTCCTCTTATAAATGACCTAGTTTGTATACTATGTTACAGCATCCTCAGTACATCTGACTTTACATGTTGCCTCACATACAAGTCAATTCTCATCTCCACACTGGATTCACAGAGCAAATACCCTTGAGAATGACATCAAGGAATGGTAAATAAGCTTTAATTGTACAAACTCTACAAGACAGACAAGGGTTCTGGGAGGTAAAGGAAGAAGGGGGAAGGAACTGTGGATGGCAGGGGACATCCTGCCTGCTCCAGGTGTGGAAGGAAACGGGCCAAGGTCCTCCCCTCCTATCACAGAGTTGCTAACTGCTGGCTGTTGTCTTCACTTTGATAGCCTGACAGATGGTGAGATGAACTTGAAAGGTCCTTCCCAACACGATGGCAGCCCGCCTTTCCTCTGGAACACCTATTTGCAGATGAAATCTCCTGGTTGACAGGGATGACCGGTTTCCTCTGGCAGGTCCTCCCTGCCAGTCTCAGTGTCCCTAGAGAACAGAAAAGCCCTATTAACTATTGAAAATGATCGTGAGACGACTGCTAAATCAGGGACAGTGCGTAGTGTCAGGTCATAGTCACGGGCCTGGTCAACTGGAGGGCAAAGGGAGAGACGCTGAGCTTGCTCACAGGAGGCAATACCCTTGTTCACCAGGCTGGTGGAAAAGCTCTAAGCCATCTTACCCAGGAGACTGGGGAATGTCAGCCAAAGAGGTTTTTGATTTTGTTTTTTTGAATCTGATTTCTCTGATCTATTGGCTTAGAGAACTGAAGATGGTTGTGTGAATCATAACTTATAGGAATCTGAGAACTCTTGCATTATCTGGACAGGAGAAGTAATCAAATGACTTCCTCTGTCCTATTCTTAAGGAATTCTGGTGGTATAGTGATAAAGCATTTGGCTGTTAACCAGAAGGTCAGCAGTTCAAACCCACTGGCTGCTCTGAAGAAGGAAGATGTGTCAATCTACTTCCATAAAGATTTACAGCCTTGGAAACCCAATGGGTGTTGCTATGGTGGAAATTGACTCAAGGGCAGTGGCTTTGGTTTATTATCTTATTTAAGATGTGCAGTATCCTGAAGGAAGAATGATATCTCTTTCGTACACTGTGAGACCGGATTCTCATAAATGTATTCCAAGCATGAAGGAGAAATATCAAGCCCTTAGGAGAAAGCCTTGTAGG